CCTTCCAACTTACACTATATTACACGAATATCATTACTTTTATATTACACAATACTAATAGGAGCATTTTTGTCCTTTTTACTACAACTCATTATAATACTAATATTTAAAAACCATGTGCAAAAAATAAACGGCAATATTGCACTGGGACTAAGGGAGTAATAATGATAATAATAGTAATAATTTTTATTCTTTATGATATTCTGATGATGATTACTGCATAAATGTCACATGACTTCAACAGTACGTGACACTTGCATGAGTAATTATGATTGAAATTTTAAATAATTAAAATATATTACTATTAGACAATATATATAACATAAATATTAAATGAACATACATATAATAAATTTAAGCACAAGAGAAAATAAAAATAAAAAATAAATAACTAAAAATTATTATTATTTTTTTTAAAAAAAAAAAAAAAAAACTTTCTTGTCTAGTAAATTATAAGTATAAATTTTGTAGTAAATGCATGCCACTATACAAGCAACACAATAGGTGATTCAATCCATGTGCCCTGTAAAAAAAAAATAAAAAATAAAAAAATAAATAGGCAATGATTAAAAATAAAAAATTATGAACAGTGCAGATATTGGGATTTGCATAGAATTATATATGTAAATGGTAGTTTTGACCAATCAGACTTTAATAATTAAATTAAATTGGTTAGATTTTTTAACTGTATAATAATACATATATAATAATAATAATCTGTCAAATTATTGGAATCTCATGTTGTCTGACTCTGACCAATATTGGACGATGCCTTCCATGCACGTGTATGCATGCATACTTGCCCTAAACCTTGTTTTTATATATATATAAAACAAATCAATTAAAAGTAGTATTTTTGTGAATTTCTTTTTAAAAAATAATAGTATATATTAAAAAAAAATAAAAAAATGTACAAGTTGAACAGTGAAAAATAAATTAGTTTGGAATACAAAACAAACTCGTTATCCTAATTTTATAGATTTATGTGACTAATTTTGAGCTTATTAGATAATAGTGTAATAATAATTAATATTCTGCTTATTTGTTTCAAATGTAATTAAAAAAAATTACAAATTAAGTACTAAACTCTGTATCAAAATCTTATTATTATGATAAAATAATAAGGCATTACTTGGCAACACATCATAGTAATATATATGCCAACTTAGAAAAATGATCAGTCTTATACATATCTATTTTTTAAAAAAAATAAAATAATAATAAAACAATATAAAATAATAATTAATTTCTGATAAATAGCAGATCCCATGTTAATTAACAATTAATCCGTGATGGGATTTCAATTAATATATATATATATATATTAGTACAGAAATAAATTAAATTAGTGATGTTTAGCGATCATAGGATTCCTTTTAGTTTCTTCCTATTGATCAGTCATTAATTTCTTGTCTATTCTTTAAATGTTAGTGTTTAAATTTGTGAATACAATCATCAGACTAAAAATTAGAGCCGGCAAAAACTGACCCGATACGAAATAATTGGGGTTTGGGTCAAAGATTTTAACCTGATTATGTATACGGGTTGACATGAACCCGACACGATAGTAAACGGGTCGGGTTAGGGTGAGGCTCTCAACTCGAACCCGACACGACAACTCGATTATAATATATTAATATTGATTAATATGCGTAAAATAATCATAATTAAATAATTTTCTCATAAATTAATTTAAACTAAGTTAAATTTTAAATTATTCAACATAATTTACTCTCAAACCAATAAAAACTAACATAACACGACAACATAACAAAAAATTATTTAATTTGAATCAAGAAATTCGACTTAATTATGTGTACGGGTCAATACGAGTCAACACGAATCCGACACGATAATAAACGGATCAACACGAACCTGATACGATCATAAACGGGTCGGATTAGGGTTGAATAATTTAACCAATTTAAAGGATTCAACCCGACAGAAATCGACCCATCGCCAGCTCTACTGAAAATAATAATTTAAATTATATATATATAAATAAAATTAATGTGTTAAAGAAAATAATCATAGATAGGGATGTAATATAGTATAATTAAGGAATAAATGAATCTTTAGTCTCGTATATGTAACAGTTACTATCATTTTAATCCATTGAGTATGTAAAATATGTAATCCAAATAGTTGTTTGGTTGTTGTTCGGAATTAATTTGAAATACGGTATTAATTTGAATTTTTTAAAAAATAGTATTTTGATATAGTATTTTGTGATAATAAATTTATTGAAAACTATGTATAGTAAATAATGTTGATTTCAATTTAAAATCAAAAAAAAAAAAAAAAAAGTTTATACTAAATTCTCTTTATACATTATAGTTTTATATATATATATATATATATTTCTAAATTGACTTCTCTATTTTATCAAATAAAAAAAATCAATTCTCATTCTCTAATAAACTCATTTTCTCTATACTTCCATTATCTACTATATGTGGAATTTCATTCTCTATACTAAACAAACCCTAAAGTTCATCATCACTCATGACAGATAAATTTAATTAATTAAAGAGATTAATTAATTAATTAATTAACTATATATATATATATATGCATGTTACAAAATCTTTTTCTTTGCAGCTCTTATATATACGTGTCGAATGAGTCGACTCCTACGTGCTTAATTAATTTCCTTTTACATTGCATTGATATTGATATTTTGACCACAACATTATATATATATATTATAATTATGGTTGCCGGACTTCTGTTTGTAGGTAAATAAGTAAATGATATTTATCCCTTAAATTTTAAATATTTTAGTGAAACAATCATTCCTATTATCTAACCATCATCATTAGCTTAATTAATCTATATGTCTCACATTTATATGTACGATGACATGTTGTTTAATTTACTTATTAGTGTAAGGTGTCTACACAACATAAAAATAATTTTTATTTTTTTTTGGATGACGTGGGAACCCGCAGCCGCTACTCAAAAGTGTGCACTGGGTAAACCCCCGGCCGAACTTAATACCCTGCAAACCAGGCCCGACGGGAAAATATAAAATTAAATTTTGAATAAATAAAATTAGGGTTCTTTACAATCTTATTTTGAGGTTTGCCAATTTAAACTCACTTCATATATCCCCTGACAATAAATATAACTATTTCCACATATATATATATATATATATATAATATTATTGTAATAATAAATAGTGTTTTTTTTTTTTTTTTAAAGTGTGTTAAAAACTAAAATACATACCTTTTTAACTTTCTTAAAATCAGCTATACATCAATCACTCGAATAAATTATTCTTGGGTGCAAAAAAATGTTCAATAATTTTGGAGATTTTACTATTATTCATTTTTTTTTAGGCTAAATTGTACAAAATTCACCCGTGGTTTCACGAAATTGCGTCAAATCCCCCGTATTTCTAAAACTGTGTCAAACTTACTTGTGGTTTCATAAACTCTGCATCTAACCCCTCGGTGGTCTTTATTTAACGGTATTTGACCTAAATCCGCTTAAATTCCGAATAAATTTTAGAATCTCAATTTCTAAAACCCTAAAATTACAAATATATTTATTTTTATTATGTTTAGCCTAAAAAAGCAGTAAAAATAAATTTTTAAAACTTGAGACATATAACTATTTCTTAGTATATCTACTATTTTTTACACTAAATATAAGACAAATGAATATATTTGTAATTTCAAGGGTTTAGAAATTGAGATTTTTAGATGAAATCTCGTTACATAAGGACCACCGAGAGGGTTAGATGCAGAGTTTATGAAATCATGAGGGAGTTTGAGGCAGTTTTAAAAATAAAGGGGATTTGGCGCAATTTCATAAAATTACATATAATTTTTTTGCAAAAAAAATTCACATCAAATATATATTTTTATTTTTAAAATATCATACTAAATAGTATTTTTTTTAATTATTTTATAAAATTTTTGAAAACTCAAACTCTCAAAAGTCTTTTATCTAAACGGAACTGAAATTCTGGCCTGAGGCCCACATTCGCCCGACATGATGGTTGGGGTTATCAAATAATTAATTTTTGATTTCTCCTAGGGATGTTCTGATCGATATTGTGCATACAATTGATAATTATTAGTTTAAGCTGAATATGCAAACTTCGAATATATACGAGGATAGATATTTCAAACTTCGAATTTTTTTGTAATTCCAATTTGAAATATACTATTTATTGGATTTAGATTTTTATTTTTTTTTTTACTTTAATAAAAACATATTATTATTTTATCTTATAAAACATCACATCAAAATAATATTAAAAAAAATCAAATTAATATTTTATTTCAAATTAATTACAAATCACAACAAAACAAACATTTAGTAGAGTATTATTTATGTTATATTGGTTGAATAAAGATAATAACACTTGTACATTATATTTTTAATATTATATATGTATAGTTACTAAGAAACAGATATTTTATTCAGAATGGAGGAAGTATATTCAAATTATTTTTTTGTACTATTTATTTATAGTGGTTTTTTTATATTTTTTCCTCCTGTCTACAAGAGTAACATATATTTTTGTGTATAATACTAATATAATAATATTTGTATAAAAAAATTATACAAATAGAAGAATATTTTGAATGCTAAATACAATGACGTAAAATATAAATGTAACTCTTACCGGCGGATGAAGATAGTATAACATAAAAAATACATGATTTCTTGATTTTAATTTGAATTTTAATTTAAATAGTATTTTAATAAGATATTTTATCAAATAAAACAATATATTTTATCAAAATTTGTAACAACCGAATATTATAAATTATAGTTTCAAACCAAAATGAAAAAAATAAAAAATAAAAAATAAAAAAATTACCTTTTCTATACAGAAATCTCCATCAAATACTTATTTATATAATATCAAATATCGTATTTTTTATTTGACATTTTACTATTCCTAGATCTCTTTCATGAACCCCAAAACAAAACCCTATTTAAAGCCCTAGACACTCTCCATTACACACTCCCATGTTGTAATAAACCTCTATTTGCACTATTCTTTCTTTATTACCTCTACTAAATTAAAGTCGATACTCTCTCTACAATACTTTAGCCATATTTATACCTCTTTCAACTTCTCAAACCTCTAACTTCTTGTATTAACCCTATCTTCCTTCTATAGTTATAGATTTTGCATATTCTTTAATATATAGTTTATCATTTGCCAAATATATAAAAATGTCTAGCCGTAGATCGCGATCAAGGCACTCATCGGGAGCTTCTAGAATCACCGATGACCAAATCAATGAGCTCGTCTCCAACCTGCAACAGCTTCTCCCCGAGATGCACAGACGCTCCGACAAGGTATTATTTTCAACGTATTTTCGAGATTTTTTTTAGGGTTTTTAAGTTAATTTATTTGTTGTGAGGATAAAAATTTTGAAATAAATAATTAGGGTTAGGGATGTTTTCAAATGGATTGATATAGTGACTGTAAATTTGGATTGAATATATACATATATATATATATATATAAATTGAATCTTTTTTTGTCATTTTGTTGGACATGTGCCTCCCCAATTAATTTAATCAAATCTCTTAAAACTATCACAACTTACCCAAACCCCAAAATATGCTTTAAAGATGACATTGGAACTGTGTGTGCACTTATAAAATAAACCTAAAGATTCCTTCTGCTACACATACAAAACTATGTTTTGATAAACACTTAATTTTTTAAGTTTTTGAGACTATTCATTATCATAACCTTTTCAAAAAAGAAAAATGTCACATGAAAAAAATACCTACTTTTTTTAAAATTAAAAATATATTTTTCATGCAAAATATTAGATCTAACACTTGTTTACATTACATCAAGGATCTATTTTTTATTTTATCTTTTTACTATTTCTAAACCTCTCCAAAATAGTCTAGTGTGTTTTCTTTCGGCCTAGATTGGATTTAATGTGATATTTTGTGAGATGAAATATTTTTACGGAGAACATAAAGTCTAAATAGTAAAAAATTGACTAGAAATTGCAAAAAAAAAAAACTTCAAACAAATCCTAAGGTTGTGTTAATTTGTTTTAATTTTTCATCTTATCGAATAACTACTTTTATGTACAATTCTCAATAGAAAAATAAAAAAAATATATGTTATTTCTCTCACAAAATGTCGCAATAAACTATTATTACACAAACTAAAACCACTCATACGAACCCAAAAATGTCGTAAAAAATTGGTTGCTGAATTCGAATATTTTGTGTGGTGACAGAGATCAGCAGCAAGAGTGCTGCAGGAGACATGTAACTACATAAGAAGCCTTCACAGAGAAGTGGATGACCTCAGTGAGAGGCTGTCTGAATTGCTGGCCAATTCAGACACAAATCAGGCTGCTCTTATCAGAAGCCTACTAATGCAGCAGTAGTTTATCACCATCATCGTTGTCGTCGTCATTATTATCTTATATATATATATATATAATATATATATCGATCACTATATGTATGTGACCCTTCTGATCTACCAATTTTTACCCATTTTCAATTTTACATTTACCCCCCAACAACACCCTCTTTAATGTTGTTGAAGTTTAAGTTTGATGTCCACTCGGTATCCTCAGCTGACTTTCATCGATCCATTGTAGACGTACGAGGGTTTTATGTAATAAGATGAAGTTTCGAACTAATCCCCAATTTTGTAGCATTTGGTTTTCCTTTGTTGTTTGTGATAATGACTATTATTTTTTTTTATGATATGAGAACCCGCAGCCGTTACTCATCCAGTGTGAGTAAATATGATCATGACTATTGTTCAATGGCGCAATTGATCATGTATTAGAACATTGCTTTAATCACAGGCATAAAGTTAGAGTGTGTTCACTAGTGTTTTCGATTTTTCGAAAATATTATAAAAAATATATATATAATGGATGTGTTAGTATAAAAAAATATATTAGTAATATAAAAAATAATATTTTATATTGAATTATTATTATTATTTTTTAATGGATAGAACACATTATAAAGTATATAGTTTATGTAAACATATGTATATATTGTATTAGTTGGGAAGCCTGTAAAGTAATATTAATTGAGTCGAATTGAGAAGAAGACAGGGCATTCTTCTGAGAAGGGCAAGGGCTAGATTTCCATGGAAGTGCAGCGACGGCGGGAGGGAGCCGGAATGAAGAGGAGGGTGAATTAGTGGTCCAGTCAGCATCCACGTGTGCTCCGTTGCATCACATCAGCATTTTTCGTTAAATTTTCGACGATGGGACAGAAAGTGATTAAAATTTGTTCTAATATAACTAAAATTGACAATTCTTTTATATTGGGATCAAAATTGATAATTTTTAATTGAATTGGGACTAATTTTGATTTTTTCCCAAAATTATTTATATTCAAATTTTATTTAAAGAACTAAAGTCTCCAACATCCGGGACTAAAATTATATTTATCCCCAATTAAATTGGCCTATTGATAATAGTTAAAACTACAAAAAAAAAAAAAATAATAATTCAACTTAAATTTGTTTGGGGGTTTGGATTTTGAGTTGAGATTTGAATAGTAAAATATTTGAATTTAAATAGTTGTATGATGTGATATAAATAGGTGTTGATGTGATGTTTTGAAAGTAAAATTGATTTTTAATATAATAGAAAAAAAAATAGGTATTTGATTTGATGTTTTTTTAAGAGAAAATTTGGATGAATAGTGGAAGTTCGGAAAAGTCTCCCAAACAAACACACATGTTCATTTTGCAAGTTTCTTTATTTTCAAATATATATATATACTCTCTCCGTCCTATTGGAAGGGTGACATTTATTTTTTCATGTAAATTTTTTAACATTCACAAAAATATCCCTATTAGTACGGTATAATATAAAAATAATAACCTTTATCTAATATATTGTAAGTTGAAAGAATATTTATTATTTTATGTATGTAATACAATAAGGTAATATTCGAAAATGATAACCTTTCAATGGAGGGAATAAGTATTATTTTTTCTTATAAAATATTAAATAAAACTACGGTGGAATAAAAACAACATGTACCTTTCTATAAGCCATTAAAAGTAACAAGAATATATTAATCACCATCATCGATCACCATACACACAAAATCAATATTTGTACAAAACATTACAAGTCAATGCTAAACCTCGGCATAAAATCGATCACGAGCATGCATTTGAACTTTCTCTACTAAATAATTTGTACATGAACTATACACACATACATAAAAAATACATATACATACACATATACATAAACATATATTGTCAACATGGCTTGTTCTCGAAGCATGTAAGAGGCCCTGCGTATTGCGAGAGCCTACTCGCCATTTCACCTCCTCTCGGCCCGATCGTCGCGGGTTCCATCGGGAACTTGTGATTAGGATCTCCCGATGGCACGAAGAATGCCCCGTTCATCAAAAGATCGCCCTCCGATTTCCACACCCAACTTTTCCATACACTCTCCGGCGTGTACTCTCTTTTCGTAATCTAGGGATATATACAGAAAATTAGAGCTGACAAAAGTATGGATGATCTGAAAATTCTATCCGAACTTAACACAAAAAAAAAAAAAAAAAAAAAAAGAAACAGAATAATCCTGTTTTGGCCTCCAAAATAGGCCTGAAATTTTCCGAGCTATGGTAGTTCGACATGCTAATGAACTGGGCCGTGTCCGACCATGAAGGTCGGATGTACCTGACCGGCCCGGTTTATTAATATTAATATTTAAAATTTAATATATATATATATGAACTAATGAAATACAGCCAAAAATTAAGATATAGTTTGATAGTAAAGTTTCGATTGTATGAACTTAATTTTTTAGGTCCGATTTGAAATCGGGCCGTGCTGGAATTGCCACATGCATTCAAATGCATAAGGAATGGCAACAATTTATCCTGTAGTAATCTCTTCCTAAAAGGAATGTTTACTTTAATGGATTTATCAAATTATATGTTGTAAAAATAGATTGATTCTTTTATGTAGAAAATATAATTTTTAGATGAGATAATCGTTTATAGCTTACCTCTTTGGCAAATGGATTTTGGGGGGCGTAGAAGCGATTTCCTTGACTAAGAATGGTGGGTTGTTGGCTTCCCCCGATCGCGTACATCTCCCACATCGTGTAGTCGTTATTCACTATGTGCACGTAACCCCATCGCAATCGAGGCATCCTTTGTATCAACCCTTTGCCGAAGTGATTAAAGGCGAGGGTCACTTGCATTATCTTGTCGGCCGAGTAGGTGTCACTCGCCCCGAACAATAACACCTACATGTAACGGGTTTTCATTTTACAATACATCTATGAAAAAAAATTGCAAATTTAGTCCTGTAAATAGGCTAAAGGCATATTGTAAACCTCTATAAATGTCAAAAACACTTGTCCTATAACCTTCAACACAAAAAAAAAAAAAATAATGAAATACGATAACTTTTATCTGAATAGTAATTCGAACTCAATACTCCCTCCGTCATTCAATTATATATTCATTTGACCGGGTACAGATTTTTAAGAAAAATATGTAAAAATAGAAATTTGTATTTTTTTGGGTAAATAAAAAACAGAAAAAGCGGTATTTTTTTACTAAAAAATAAACGAAAATAAATTTGGATGACAATAAAAAAAAGAAAAAGTAAAAATAAATTTGAACGACGAAGAGATTATTTCATAAAAAATATATATATTCTATAAAAACTTGCCAAGATATAAAAATACATTAAAAAAAGAAAAAATTTAACATAGATGTATTAATAAAAGGGTAAATTGATTTTTTAATCTAGCAGCTGAACTCTTTTATCATTTTAGTCCCGGAATCTGTCGTAAATTAGTTCAGCAAGTAGAAATTTTTCGCACTTTTAGTCCTCCGATGCCGGATATACCTACGTGGCACCTGCGTGGCTCACCGGATGACACGTGTTCGCTAAATATCGTTCACGTGGGGAACACGTATCCTCCGGCGAGCCACACGGGTACATTTTCGGCACCAAATCACTAAAATTATGAAAATTTCTACTTATAAAACTAATTTGCGATACCTCCTATTAAAAAACTAAAATAATAAATAGCAACTGCACTTACATCGTTATGATGAGTGAAGTGACAATTCGAAATGGTGACGGCGGTGGAGCCCTCGATAACGTCGATCAGTCCGTCGGCGCAATTGGAGAGTGACACGTGGTCGATCCATACGTCGGTGGACCCGAAAACGGAGATGCCGTCGCCGTCGCTCCTCGTCCGGAGGCCGAAGTGCGACGTCGAGTCCCTAATCATCCCGCCCTGCCCGACCTTAATGTCGTGCAATCGGATATTATGTATGATCACGTTGTGGATGTGCTGCAGCGTCAGCCCGGCGCCGTTTGTTATGTGGATCTGCGCGCCGCGGCCGTCGATCGTCTTGTCGCTGGTCATGATCAGCTCCTCCGACAGCCTGATCACCATGCTCCGGGCAAAGACGATCCACAGCGGCTCCAGCTGGATCACGGCGTGCCGGAGAGTGCCGATTTTAGGGTTCACCATGTCGGCGTCGGAGGGATCGGTCACCACGTAGATTTTTCCGGCCTTCCCGCCGGTGGCGCGCCGGCCGAACCCTAGCCCGCAGTCGGCGAGCCGGCGGCGGTTCTGCGCCCAATTTGGTTGGCACCGCCAGCATTGGTCGATCGGATTTGTGGCCTCGCAGCCGCCGCCGCCGCCGGGTGGCTTGCCCTTTAAGCTGCGCCGTGTCGTGGTGGTGGTGGTGGTGGTGTTGCCGCCGCGGATCGACCTACGTCAAACTTTTCGAAAATTAAGGAAATTATTCGGATTACATACGTAAATTTGATTTGGATTGATGATTGAATTGTTTATTACATGTGGACTTTCTTGTTGAGATGTTCGACGACTGAAAGGGGATTCGGCTCGTACGCCTCGAGAGCGCGCCGTTTGGCTTCTTCGGCGCGCCGCCTCCAAACGACGTCGTAATTAGGGTTAGAGTTAGGGTTAGGGTTAGCATTGCAGGAGCATATGGTGAAGACGACAGCAACAAACCAAGCTATCCTATTTATGGCATCCATTTATTTATTTAATTGTTTTATTATTATTTTATTTTATATTTTTACTTTATACAAAAGTTTGGCATTATGATCATCTGTATCCAGATGAGGTTTCAAGCATTAAGAGATGATTAAGAATGATACAAATATTATTTATACATGATTTTGGTGGGAAACCATTTTTATCTGTCCGAAGAAAAGCTTAGCACCTCACAATATGTTTGTTCTTTATTTTATTGGTTTGTATCAAATTAGAGAATATATTGTGTGGTTAAGATGAAATTGTGGGTTATTGTTCATTGGATCGATTGAGGATATAATAATTAGAAATACATACATATATAAAAATATATTTTAAAAATTATTCATGGCTAAATTTGAGAATTAAACCCACAACTAGAGCAAGAATTGGAAGAACAATGATGAAAGTAGCAAGCTTGTTCTTGAAGAATGATTTGTTTTGAGTTTGATCATATGGGTTGGGATGAACATCTCTTTGTTTCTTTTTTTCTTCCTTTTTGCGCCCGTTTTGTTGTTGTTGTTGTTGTTGTTTCTTCGGAATAGTGATGCAATAAACTTGATCATTTTCGAACACTCCACTAGCATTTTCGAGATCACCATTTTTTGGAACATCGAATGTCTCTTCGAAGCTTATGTACTTGTGCTCACTTATTTGTCTATCTCCACGAACCACCAGATGACCATACTTGTCCATGTGTATAGTGACATTATTTGTTTTAAATCCTTTGGATTCAAGAGTAAAATTAGATTAAATATAGATTTCATTAGATAAGAATTATAAACATGTATGTATATATAGATATAGATATATGTATTGGTTATGTATGTTACCGGGAAGAGTTATACGCAAATAGTGAAAGTGCGAATCCTCCTTCCATCCATGAGGAGGGGTCATTTGCATGAACAACAAACTCGAGTTTTTCTTATCCAAACGATGTCTACCTCCATTTGTCGATGCCATTGATAACTTAATATTTTTACTAAATTATCTCAATCTCCACAAAAAAAAAAAAAAAAAAAAAGTAAGAAGAAAATTACAATAGAAACCGCTTTTTATTTAGTTCAAAAGGTGGGCAATTTCCACAATGCTTTTGTAAGAAGAAAAATCTTTTTGAAGTTAAGAACTTGTTCTTTTCTTTGTCCTAAAAGGCCATCTTCAATACAAAGTAAAACAAAACCCTAAAGGGTGAAAAAAGAATTGATCCCTAGTTGCAAAAGTGTAGATTTTCTCTCTTCCAATGAAAGACATTGCACAAATTAATTAAATAGATCAACTAACTTTTTTTGTTTAACAATGAAAATTTGAACATATATACCGAGGATACAACAAATGAATGTCATTCATTTCTTCCAAAGTTCAATTTTCTTTCTAGGTATAGCAAAAGAAGATAATTTTCCGAAGATATTCATCAATGGCGACAACAAGTAGACATAAAGGAGTGCTCGATAGGAAAAACTCGAGCATCGTGTTCATACACATTAACCCTCCTCATGGATGGAAGGATGATTCTCAATTTCACTACTTGTATTTAACTCTTCCCGGTGAGTTGATTTACATTAATACTATAATATCAAGAAAAAAAATAATGCAAAGTTAACATTTTACATACAATCAAGTATCATTTTTATCATTTATATTTTTTAATTCGTATTTTAACCACCTAATTTACAAAAATAAAAATAGTAATATTTTCTCATCTTCACCCCTCATATATATATATATATATGTTTCTTGTAAAACTTGTGCTCCAGTTAGATTGTAATTAACGGGTTTATTGTAGTCTTGAAAAAATTTGATAATAGTAAAAGTTTTGATATTTTGATGTAATACTTTCTTTGTTCTAATTTAAATTATTTTTTTTACTATTTTCGTTTATCTCATTTCAAAATATTTTGTTTTCTATTTTAGAAAAAATAATCTTACCCTAATATCAAAATACCCTTAAATTTTACTTACATTACAAACATATCATTATTAATACAATTACTTCATATGTAAAGTCGTGGGGCAAAAATATCAAAAATTCTACACGCTTCCACTGACCGACAAAATACTATTATTTCTTACTTTATTACAAAACTCCAAAAGACTCGTTTGATTTGGGACAAGGAGGGTATTATTTTTAAGATATTGTTGTTGATAAAAATAGTACTAAAAGTTTTTTTAAAACAAAAAATACTCCCTTCGTCCCATAATTAGGTATTCATTTGTTTTTTCACATAATTTTAGAAATATTAGTATTATATTAGGATATAGTATGAATAAAGTAGAAATGACTAAATAACCTTATTAGTATGGTGTGATATAAAGGTAATGACATTTGTGTAATATATTGTAAGTTGTAAGGGTATTTGTAATGTTAGGTAGATAGTACCATTACTAAAAAAAAAAGAAAATTGATACTTTATTATGGGAAAGATTAAAATAAAAAAATAGATATTTTGTTACGGGGCGGAGGGAGTAATAATAATAACTATGTAATAGAGCTTGAATTTTTTGTAATACTATACCTTAAAATGACATTTATCACATATACAAAGTTACATTCTACGGTATTTATACAATTCTTACTTCCCAAAATAATTTGTCACACATATATACATATGTACTAATATTGCTATTTTCCAAAGCTTAACGTATATACACATGATTCAAGGATTCGAAACAAATAACATAACGATACACATGGACAAGTACGGATATTTAGTGGTGCGAGGCGACAGGCAAGTAAGCGAGCACAAATACATAAGCTTCGAGGAGACATTCGATATTCCAAACGATGCAGACCTTGAGGAAGCCAGCGGACAATTTGAAGACGATCAAATTTATTGTGTCACTATTCCTAAGAAAAAACAACAATTGGAGCAACAACAACAACATCAGCGGAAACAAAGACGTGAGCATCGGGAAAAACCCACCGTGCCTATTGAGAAAATGCGATCAAAAAGTTTCTCTCCCACGAGATACGACTCTCTCATCACCCATCCATCCCATCAAAAGAAATTTTCGCTTTATCGTTACATAACTTCTTGTTGTCGTCGTTGTGGATGCATGTAATTAAAGTAATTGACGCTTTATAATCTAGCTACTTGTAAAAAATTTGTTGTAAATTCATCGTGTCATAAAATTCAAATAAATATGAATATAATGGTTTTAGCGCTTAAATGAGAATGTCTAGCCACCTTATGTACGAAAAATTGACATTTTATATTTTAACCTTTTGAATTTGAGAATAAATTTAGATTGAGTATTCAATTTTTTATTATTATTTGTTTGTAATAAATAATTCATCTATTTACAATTTTATTATTCATATTTTAATAAAAATAATCAATTATGACACTATTTTTTTTTTATTTCTTCCATTATTTATTACTCTAAAATAAATTTTATATAATACAATCACCTTGGTTTTTACCTATCTATTTTAATATTAAAATATTATTATTTTTTAATTTTCATATCGAGTCAAAATTATGGGTTTTTTGTTTTATAAGTTTGAAAAAAAATTGGTTTGAATTTAATATTAAAATAATGTATGATGAGATGTTTTTTTTTGAAAAAACACATAGTTCAAAATAATAGAAACTAGAGTTTTTATTTAAAAGAAGCACACCGTATATATTATTGAACTATACACACTGAATAAAAAAAAAAAATTAATTAATTAATTTAAACCATAAATTAAACAAATTCAAATTTTGAAATAAACTAATTAAAACCTCATATCTTATACATTCAAAAATATTACTACCTCCCTCTTGGAAAATTATTACACACTTTAATGTCATTTTAAATTTTTTAATTTTTTTTTTAAATTTTAATTAAACTAATTAGTTATCTTAATCTTAATTTATAATTATTTATATCATAGGATAATTATTTTCACTAATACATTCTTAATTATCTACTAATTACATCCCTCCTAAAATACCGTGTCTACAGTGTAGCTGTGTCTACAGTGTAGCTGACACGATATGTGAGACGGAGGTAGTATTTGATTCCTCGCATAAGGTATGGTCTGATGATGTAGAGGTTAGAATTATGACCATCAAGTATTAGGTTCAGCCGGGGACAAATGCGCACTTTTATGTTATTAAAAAATATATATACTATCAAATTTAGTTTATAGGTTTACCGCACTCCAAAATAACAATATTTCATGTCAAAAAAAAAAAAAAAAAAAAACATAAAAGAAATACATATTCTTTTACACTTTGCGAAAAAATTTAATATCATATCTAAATTGTATTGTAAAATATATATATATAAATGGAAAGGGTAATTTAGTAATTTTTGCGCCTCCTCCAGCTCAGCGTCTTGTGATAGGATAAGCTGCCGCCTCATTGGCGAATTTGACGATTTTCTTGGGGTAAAAAAGAAAATATAAAAACATAATAATAAAAGTTCCGCAGTTTTCTAAAAGAATAGAGAGACATTTCCACCGTACAGAAGCTTCAAACTCTGCAAAAATTCGAATCTCTGAAAGCTAAATTCCCATGGCGGTGGCAACAACAAGCGCCGGCAGCTACCTGAAAGCAATTGAAGAGGTCTCGTCCTCCAGGCGACGCTTCAATTGCAGTTATGCCCCCAGATTCTCAGCCATGGCGCCAAGGAAGAAGGTACTCTGCCAATTGTTAGGGTTTTAGTTTTTGGATCTAATAAGAGACGACTACGCCCGTAGGATTGCAACCTGTGCAATTGAGGTGAAGAATTCGTGTTTGAATGTAAAAAATTCGATTGCATTCGTGTTGCCAGGTGAACAAGTACGATCCGAGCTGGAAAAAGGATTGGTACGGCCCCGGGATCTTCTACGAGGGCAGCGAAGACCAGGAAGTCGACGTGTTCAAGAATCTGGAGAAGCGGAAGGTGCTGAGCACCGTCGAGAAGTCCGGCCTGCTGTCGAAGGCGGAGGATTTGGGAGTCACTCTATCGTCCATCGAGAAATTAGGGCTTCTGTCGAAGGCGGAGGACCTCGGACTCCTCAGCTTGCTTGAGAAGACAGCTGGCTCCTCGCCTTCCGCCTTGGCCTCCGCTTCCCTCCCGGCGCTGGTGGCCGCGGTGGCCGTCATCGTGGTGATTCCGGATGACTCGCCGGCGCTGGTGGCGGCGCAGTTTCTAATCGCCGGGCTGCTCGCGGCTGGGGCAGTAGCGCTGTTCGTTGGGTCGATTGTGTTGGGAAGATTGCAGGAGAACGAATAGCAGGACTTTTGGTGGAAAATTAAGTACATGCTTCTTTCTCTGTTAGATTTATAATGATAATCAACGATGTGTGTTCATACATCATAGCTTATCGATTTATCACAATTGAAAAACATAGAACTTCATGTATGGATCGAAAATGGAAACAAAATTTGAAGAAAAAACTTGCATATGGAGATGCGGGGTATCGATCCCCGTACCTCTCGCATGCTAAGCGAGCGCTCTACCATCTGAGCTACATCCCCTTGTTAAAAATTAATCTAATTTAGTTTTTATCTAGAAACTTTAAAGAGCCAAGATCCAGAATGTGAAGGGTCGAAAAATTCATTCAAATGTTGTTTCAGAGCGCGGACGGTAAGGATGATTTACTTGTTTTATTACTTTAAATTTTGAGAAGGCTATCGATCGTTGTTTCCTGTTTGAATGATGGAATTGAATTACCGTACTATGTTTGCGTGTTTTAGTTACAATTTAGTGTGGTGGTAAATTGGTAATGGAAATGTTCGTATGTGGACTTTCGCGATCAGTGAAGTGGAATTTCAATATTATAATTAGTGAATTTTGGGATGAATTTTCTGTAGTTGTTGTTGGATTGCATGCATAGTATGCTACGAATGATTATTGATTCATTTACAACAAGCATCTGTAGTGATTTATGAATTTGGAATACTTAAAGAGTTTCAGATTTCTGATATGTACTAACCGTTAGTGTTGCGTAACTTCCCATGGAATAGATAAAAAGGTAGGGGTAGTGGCTACTATAAATTAACCCCTTTGGGTGACATGACAACAAGCTTTTTTCTTAGTAACCAGAGTAAGTGAAATTGAGATGGGTGAGATGTTGTGAAGATGGTTTTGCAATTTTATCGTGAATGTAGGTATGTTGTGAGACCGAGAGACCGAGCTACATTAAATTCTCGTTTCTTGTTATTTTGTTTTTCTCTTCTTCCCTTTTGTGTTCCAACAGTTAGCATTTATTTGAAACTGGAATTCTTGCTGTTATGTATGTTTATTTGGCACTTGTTTGGTATATGATATTTAGTAAATTGGATTTTATATATGGTTGATATGATGCACTACAATAAAAATTTTCGATAATGATTTTCACTCATAGAAATGACATAGAATGCATAGAATAAGCTATTTGCTATGTGTATGATACTCAAGATAGTATGGTGTACTTGACTAGCTACATCTTATTGTTCTCAGATCTCTCTAGTCCATCAAAAGGACAATTATGTTATGACTGTTTCATATAGATGAGAGTGGCAATGCTCAAACCTCTGGTCTCTTATTTTGGGTCTTGAGTTTCCTTCTGGTTTTCAGGGCTGGACACTTTGTAGTGGTAGCGCCGAGCCCAGAAGAGATAATGCAGGAAGTTCAGTCCACTTAAGACACACATGAACCAGTAAAATCTTTCCAGGTGATAATGGTTCAAGTTACTGCCATAGAGCCATGGCTTATGTTGGAAGGCGCCACTAATGCAGTTGACTATATCTACAAGTACTGAGCTGAGATAATATCCTATTGCCAATGATGTCCAGGATAGAGATGTTGCTAGTGACCGCATTCTAAAGGGTGCCTCAGTGAAGAAGAAATCCATCATACCTGCTAAGCTGAAAAGATCAGCTGAGCCCAGGAAGAGGTATTGCAATGCCACCCAAAGGAAAGTGATTGGTAGAGGTTCAGTTGAATTTACAAGGCCTGATTCTACTGCCACCCTCTTCCTTTTCATCTCTATTAATGCTGCAACTCCCATGGCTATGATAGAGAGAATTAGTCCGGTTCCGATTCTCTTTAGATGAGTGATTCCCACTTCTGTATTGGTCAGTTTTCGGGCAACTGGAAGCACGAAATGGTCGTAGACAGGGGCAAGTATCATTATGAAGAGTACTGGAAATACTGGTAGAGAAGCTGGAGGAATTCGAAATGATCCAAATTTAGTGTCCATGGTGGAAGCTTGTTGTACTGAAAAGGTAGAAAGTTGGGCGAGGCAGCAATTTAGCATAACGGTTGACATGAATATTGGAAGTATCTTGAGGACTGATTTTACATCCTCAACTTGTTTTTCTGTGCAATGAAGCCATGGTGCCGATGGAGTGATCTCCGATGCTTTGTTGAGGAATTTGAGGTCTTTGGTAAGTGACACAATTTCTGCACTTCCATTGGAATGTTTTTCATCCTCACCGGCCTCATTTTTAGTTGATGGTGATGTGCTCGTATTCTCAATAGCAGTACCACTCTTCCTTGAAATCCAATGTTTGTAAGTTGCAGCTGCCACAACCTACATGGAAAAAATAACACTGGTGATGATGAAATGGTTTAAGTTTAGGAACTGAGCTTTTAACGACTGAAAGTGTGTACCTTGAATATGGTGGTAATGGGACTGCCAGAGGGGATTTTGATCCTATAAACAGGTGATCCAAGGAGGAAAATTGGTATTGAAACTAATATTGCTGCAGTTGCTGCTCCGAAACCCCACTGCCAGCCCTTATTATCTTCAATCCAGACGGCAAATGTTACAGCTATCAGTGCTCCACAGGACAGGCAGAACACATAGTAATTGAAGAACGATGATCTCTGCTTCCTTCCTTGTGGTGTATACTCATTGAACTGCTCGGCACCATGTGGAGGAAGTGAACCTTTTATTCCTCCAACACCTAGTGCAACCAAATAAAGGCCTGAAAATAGAATTGCTGCCTTTCCCGTCTTCACTTCCTGGCACGAAATATTTCTGTTTACAGATGTGCAGACAGGAGGACTCAATGACCTGATGTGAGCTTGCACAGTGAGAATCAATAAACCCTGTCATAGATCTTCTATCAGCCAAATGTATTGATAAAGTATGCAGCTCAAGTATCGAATATTATTCGATGGTATAAAAGCTTCTCCTTATTGGAATGCAAGTTTTGTTGGTATATTTAGGATATAATTAGTCTTACTGAGTTACTGCTTTGTATTTTTTGGTTTCTGTCCTTAAGCTAAAGCACCAAGAGAATAGCAATAGTTAAACCTATAAAGGTTATAGTGAACTTGAGATCCAGTAAAAAATTTAGGTATCAAGCCCCACAAATGGGCAACTTTCTTCAGGTGTCATTAATATTTAATTTGTTAGTGGTCCATGCTATACTGAGTTGTTAGTTTCACAATAATTTTTTTGATGTGATGCTTATATTAGTTATTAATACAAGCAATAGTTTTCATTTCATTGATTTGTAATTGTACATGCATCTCCATGGTGTGCTAATCTTCCAGAAATTGCAATATTTACAAAATATCCCTATATCTTGCACGTGTACTTTTACCATACTTAGCTAGATTTCAAAGTTCTGGTCAATACATTTTTCCCCTTAACTAGTAGTTAAGCCACTGTAATTTACCTATGTGCAAACTTAATCCTTATTTTCATTTTGCTGTTGATGATACAGAGATTATATTAGCCTTAGATCATTATTGAGTTTCTTTTTAGTGTGTACTTTTAAGTCGTAGATTTACTTTGGCTAACCTTGTTATCTACGAAACTATACATGTACAGCAGTTTTAAAATTATCAAACATATTGCATGAAGTAGCAAGGTTTGGGTGGGAACCTTACCAGGAGTTCGACACTTGCACTTATTAGAAAAATGCAATAGGTAGTGAAATAGGAATCAGATAGTATTCCTCCAAGTAGAGCAAGAAGAAATGCAGTGCCCATGAAGTTCGTAACATGGTTGGCCGAAGAGGATGGGGAAAAATTCATGAACTTTGACAGATAGAGAACTAAGTTGCTTGCATTGGCCAGGTATGCTAGGTTCTCCAAGACTTCGACAACTAGAAAGTTGAGATAAAAACTCGAATTAGTACACTTTCTTTTCATTCACATGAACAATGGAGTGTTTTGTGGATAACATGTGCATAGTAACAAAAGTGGTTGTGTAGCATACTAACCAAGGACGAAAGATGCTGCACATGCACCACCATGACGATCTCTTAGGGCAGGTCTGTTTCTCCAGTCTACGTAGCCTTCCCACATGTTTGAGTTGCTTTTCTTTTCCTACAAAAAGATGAATAGATTGAAGAATATAGAAAAGAGAAACAAATTGTGAAAATACTTGTTAAGGACTGTGCCGAACCATTTGTCTGTTGCAGCCTTTGCAAATCTGTGGCTCTGTGAAAGCTTATCAAAGAATTTGAGTTGAGCAGCATCTTATGCAGGAATGTCATATTTATAATTGGAATATTAGGCTGTTAAATCTGATGGAAAAATCTGGATCCATTGACAGTGCCCCTTTTTCCCACATGGTGGCATAGTTGATATAACCCCTCATTGTGGAGGACCATTTTCTGCATTGTGGTATTGTTGGTTTCTCTCCATGTTGTTAGAGTCATAATGTAGCGCACACCCGACACACATTGATTTATATGTTCTTTTAATCATTATGTTTCTTCATGATCAGATAACTATGATGTCAACATTAGCCAATGAAACTCTATGCTAAGTCGATGGAAGTTTCTTGCGAAATCTGATGGCTTCGCACTTGAAGTATCCCAATGACAACGCGGTAAGATCTCCCGAGAAGGTAAACAAGAAAATAGTCTTGAGCACATAATTAATTGTGCATGCTTATTAAGAAAAAAGCATTTGATTTGTCAGTGGTGAGCCCACTGTCCTTCTATAGTAATCTTAGATTGATGGGAGGTTTGTTTTATTGCAATCCATGTCAACATAGGTTTTCTTATGCAGTAATTATTATCTAAGGCATGATTACTTCATTAGTGTAACAAATATTGATTATCATAAGATGGTTGTGCGCGAATATCCGATTTTTCATGAGCATGTTCAAGAGTTATTTCTTCCTTAAAATGACGGGCATGGGTCGTTGTCTTATTTATGAGGTCGCTGTTGTCTTTACCATATCCTTGTGTACCTTTCAATGCTTCGAATAGTTATTCTTGCTGCTACTAGAGTCATCTGTGAACAGCTTCGAATCTTGTGGTGCAAACTGATTTTCATCATCCCTCTTTTGGAGCCACTTGATTTTGATTGTAACGTATAAGAAATTTTCAGTTAAAAAATTGGATGGCTATAAGAATTTGTTTTGTTCTGATACATGTGTTTTAGGATTACAGCTACATTCCCAAGAAATGTGCAAAATATGAGTGAACAAAACCCATTTTTCATTAGCATTAACTAGTGTCTGCAAGTAAGATTTACAAAGAATTTTTGCATTTTTTATATAATGGCTCGAGTACAATGTTTGCAGACATGATTCTTTTCATTATACCTTCAGAATCTGAGGAATCTGTGGTAAAAATATGAAATGCTTGAATTGTACTAAGATATGTCTGTATCACAAAACATTGCTTTTCTCCAACTGCTGAATCTGTCAATCATGAATATGAAAGGTCAAGTAAGGGTGTCTTGTCTGTGGATATGGAGAGCTGACGTTGCTACCATGTAATCATCATTTTATTGCATTTTGCCAAACTTACAAAACTGTCTTTGATCGGATCTTCTTTTTTCAGTTGGGAAATTGATGCCAGAAAGCTCCAATGACCTTTCTTAGTGGAAAACATCCTTATGCTATGGTCCCCCTCCATCTCTGTCATAATCAAGCCCATATTTCATCTGTCTCCTTTATGCATCAGAGTTACCGTGCTCGATGGAGTTATAATGCTCGATTGATCGCCACTCTTGCCTCTTTGATGTAAGTAAAGGTAAAAACAAAGGTTCATGTATAAATCTTTCGTAGTATTATTTCTGAACAGTTGGTTTGTGTTTGTTTTTAAATAGTAATTTGATGTAATATTTTGAAAGAGAAACTAAAATAAATTTCAAAAAGCAGAGCCTTGGTATCATTATGATCGAATCTTGGAAAATGTAGTTTGTGGTTTAAAGGGTCTTTGTCAAGCCCCCTCTTCCTTCAGGCACAGGGCAGTTCTCGCAGTCGTTGTCTAAGACGACTATTGCATCAATGAAGACATTCCCGACACCCCGAGACATCCTTTTCAGGTTCATGACACTAATTACTACCACACTCTTTTTTACCCTGCAGTAAAATCTTGGGTTTGAAAAGCCATTCTCCATTATCATATGGAAGGAACTTAAATTTGATCTACTTTCATGTCTGCAGTAGGAGCTTGTGAGGACAGGACTCAATTTAAAATTCATCTGTACAATGATTAGTTGTCGTCTGGACACGGCACAGCTGTAGTAAGCCGGCGAGAGCACTCGACTGCCGCCAGAAGTCGCCGGTGATACTTTGGTGGACCACTCAGGTGCAACCGTATGTGGTCAGGTATGGCTCCTAACTAATATTTCCTTTTCTTTCTATTAATGTTATGTCTTTCTAATTTCAGTCATCTGGTAGGCACTTTTATATATATGTCATATAGGGCTCACCTAATAATTTGCAGGTTATTATGTTCATCTAGGAGTTTATTCAACCCGTATTTGAATAACGGTTAGGATCCAAATCTTTTATATGGATTTATAAATATTTATATACCCAGCAAATATATATATATATATAGTGCTGAATAGAGTGATTTTTTCTTGTTTTATGAAAATTGAATACATATGGATGTATTTATTTGTGTTTTGAAAATATTTTAATAGTATTTTGAATTATTTTGAAAATAGCAAAAAAAAAAAATTAAGTGAAAAACTAGGACTTTTTCAGATGGCTCACATTATAATTCGAGTCCATAAGTTGAGCTAGTCAATAATCTCATATAATAGGCCTCAGCCCAAATGCTTTTCATAGGGTTTTTATTTTTTATTTTATTATTATTTGTTTTTATGGATTGTGTGACATTGATGTGAAGTGTTAGAATTCTTCTAAAGAATTTGATATATATTTTATAAAATAAAATAAAATAATATTTTTTTATTGAAAATTATGAAATAATGATGATAGTTCCTCAGACTTGGTTGCCACTATCATATAAAATTATTTATACTTACGTGTAATTTAATCAACAAGTTTAAAGTACATATAAAATCCTTATAGAATACAACGTGCGAGGTAAATGTATTTTTAGGCGGTATATGATACTTTGTCATTTGCCTTTGAATTGAAATTATATAGAAATAGTTTTATATTTATGTAATCGTTGAAAAATATCTATTAATTTGCAATTGAGATATTGTTGCATGTGTTGATATGGTGTAATTTCACACTGTTGAGGTGAATATAATTATGTATATTTATTATATATATAAATGCACGAATATATTTATATTTGTGAATATATTATAAATATATATTTTAATAGAATATTTTTTTTAAAAAAATAAATATTTTATATGATATTTTTAAAAATAATAATAATAATAATAATTCATCAATGAATAATAACTTATAAATTAAAACATTTAAATTTTCGATCTGAACATAGCATAAGACTATGACATGAAAATAACTAATGTATGCGTAATTATGATAATGATTTCAATAATTAATTAATGAAACTAAATCTATACTTTGAAGTAAAAAAGTATACAATGAAATTGATATTTTATATATATAGTACAAAGAGAAACTGATGATGTTTAAATATATAAATATTTAGAATTTTTTTAGGGTTTTAAATTGGTTTAGAAATAACTAAAAAATTAATTAAAAAAATAAATGTTCAATAAGATATAAATATATATGGGATATATTCTTTTAAATAAAAAATGTATTTTTAAAATAATCATTTGAATAAAATTTGATTTTAATATATTTTTTATATAAATAATACGAATCAAAATTTGAAAAGATAAAAGTAAAGAGAGTGTTAATCATTGAATGACTACATCAACATGATTAGTATTTGAGTTTGAAGTCAACATTTGAACAATGGTAAATGGATAAACAATAATTGTTGTGAATGATCAAATTTAAAATATTAAATAATGGTAGAAATTTAGAAGGAAAAATTAAAATAAAAATGATAAAGTAAATCATGAAAAATTCAAGAATTATAACAATGTGTATAATTCGAGAATCATTGGGACTAGTTTATAATGTGTAAAAATAGTTCATTCTAATATGTTGTATTAAACTTGTATCAAAACATATTGTCTACATATATTTTAATGCTTGTATTTTAGTCAAAGTTTGAAGTGTTGATTCCTGTTTATGTTTTTCATTAATTGATTCGATATATTTGTGTTCTGATGAATATGTGTGAAGGGTAAAAAGATTACAATATACTAAGACCATTGAATTTTCAAAGGAGTTGATCGTATTCTTGTTGGCCTTTTTTCTAATCAGGAAAGCTAATTGTGAGAATATATACAAAATGATTGTTTATTTCATTGTTGGATCAAACAATAATATAGACAATCTTGTATGATTCATTATTATTTATTTCATTATTGATTTAATATTAATAATATATGTGTAAACTTCATCACCAACCATCATTATATCATATTTTAGTAAGATTTTCTTCAAGAATCATTGAGGCAATAGTTTATATTGAATGTAATACCAAGATCCATCAGATTATTAATCAATATATATATGTTGAAATAAAGTATGTTTTAATATTTTTTATTTCACAAAGTAAAACATGTGTTTGATGAGACAATTAAATAGTGTTAAGACCTCTTGAATTGAAAAAAAACTAAGCATATCCAAACTAAGTCCAAATATGAATACAAATCATCAACAACATGTAAATATTTTAAAAATCAATTCTTACTGATTATATTTTTGCAAACCAAGTAAAACTTAATTTCTATTTCTACCCCCAATTGCTTATAAATACATTGCAAAATATGTCTACTTCGATCAATTCATTCACATTGGTTTTGACGGCATCACCCGCAGCCGGATGGTGATTAATTAAAGATAATCGATACAACAATTGAAAATGAAAAATGAAAATAATATTACAAATCAGATTTGGACATTGCACCAGAACATACCATGTTATCTTCATATTTTTCAGTTTGGTCTGGCAGAATTATTTGGCTACTTGAATGTCTGAAGACTAGAAAACTAAACATGGACAACATCAAATACGATTAATTCATAATTTAATCAAACACAAACGTAGCATAACATAAAAAAAATATATATTTTTGTAATGAAGATGTTAACTCTCTATAAATGCTTAAGAGCTTATCTATCTAACATTCAACCTCATTTCAGCTTCACTTTTGCATTTCCTTCTCCCAACTTAATGTAAAACTATAAATATAGAGTAGCATATAGTTTCACAAGAACAATGCAAGTATGAGTGAGCTATTTTATAATCTCATGCTAAAAAGAACCTGGATAACTAAAATTGATCTTTAAACTATCAAGAGTAATTTGATGTCTACATAAATGTTCTATAAGTAAGAAAATAGATGTGAACTTCCTTTTATAACTCAATATGAATTTCAAAAAAAATTCAATGTTAATATTAATTACATGACTCTATAAATCAATATGAAATGCATTACTAAATCAATTGCAATTGCAATTGTAACTCAAATTTAAACATCAACATCGACACCATCATAATGAAAATCAAGTGCACAACAAGACCTGGAAAACTAAAAATATTAGCCAACCGACACTTGATAGGTTATTCATAAATTCTATTCCGTTAAAGGACTAAAAACAAATAGACAACAACCAACAAAAATTCAGCATGTCGTCATGTCCAATCCACCAATTTGAAACAACACATATGTCAACTATTGCATTGTCATTGACTCTCTCCGACATGATTCTACACAATGAAAATTTAAAAAGTAACAAACAATCAATAAAGAAAAATCAAGTTATTTTACAAAAAATAATCTGCAAATGAAAGAGCACACTACTACTACTACTAAAAAACAGCTTATCACACTAAGAAAAAACTCTTGCATTATTGTCTTGGTGGGTGTTTGCTTAATTACAGAAAAATTAACAATTTTGTGAATTTTTTATTTTAAAAAAATAAAAAATATTCATCACACCATCATACGAACATACATAATAGGTGCAATTGATTAAGAGAACATTGAGTATCGCTATCAACGAAAGCTACAAATTATTTGGAAAATTTTAAAAGACAATCTGAAAAACCTCATTTTCACGTACCTACATATTATGACTCAATTCATAATATGAAAACATAGACTTGAACTAAATCAAAATTCCAACAAAATTCCAATAACTTACGCAACGGATTTTACTTGTACTTAGAATTTGATAAATTCCGTTGCGGTAAAATTATGTAGATTTAATTGGACATGAAAACTAAAAAATAATAGTATTATAATATTAAAGTAAATAGTTAAATGTGATTATTACAGAAAATTCGTTAAATGAGTGATAAAAAAAATAGTACGATAATTAGGAAAGTTAGTGGCAAATTAATTGTTCTTTGTTAACGTGTGAATAATAAAATTATGGATGGATAAAATTATTTACTATAATAAATTGTGTATAAGTTTAACGAAATGTCAAAAAATGAATAATAATAAAATTTTACCTGATAAAAAAAAAAATATTGATTGTAAATTATTCAAAATAGTAAAATTGATACATTCATTATTGACAGAGAAAGTATTGTTGAAAATTTTGAATATTCAACCCAAAAGAGCCGTATACCAGTATTAGTATATACTTGACAATAAAAAAGTGATGGGTTATAGTGCTGATTAGTAATAATAAACATCGATTTATCTAATCAACACATTAAATATGGGCAAGCACATACTTTCAATTAACATATTATATGATGTTTTGACTGAAAGCATGCAATGACAATTGTAGTTATACTTGTGTTTTATAATATATTTATGTGCTAAAGAGATGTAGATTTTGGTTTCGTTCACGCAGTATGTTTGGAAGAAATGATTTTTAGTGTTATATAAAAAGTTGTTTCAAAAATATAAAATATATTATTTTAGATTGAATATTTGATTTTTTTTATTATTTTTTGTAATGATTTTTTTTTACTTTTATAATGATTATTTTGACTTTTTAATTTTTGTATAAAATATTTTATATTTTTTATTATTTTTTTAAAATAATAATTGAAAATTGATGTTTAAAACACAGAGCAAAATATTTTTAGAAGTTTGGATTTTATCTTGTATTCTTCATAAAATACATACATATATATACAAAATTATTAAATTAAATATGTAATTTTATTTAATATATTAGTAAGAATAATTTAATTTAAATATCATATTAAAGTTTGAATTTTATCTTGTATTCTTCATAAAATATATATATATATATTCAAAATTATTAAATTAAATATGTATTTTTCTTTAATATATTGTTAAAAATAATTTTATTTAAATATTATATTAAATATTATTCAAATTTATTTTATTATTATTCTCAAATTTTAAATTCAAATTCAAATCAACTTTAGCCACACATCATAAAGACTGGGACACAAAATGATTGAGATACCAAATCATAGTCCAAATTTCACTCGTCAAACACACGTGACAATAAATAGAAACTATATTAAAAATTATATAAACAAGAAGCAAACACGGAACAAATATACTTTTTTAATATTTTAAAAAAATTGTGAAATCTTCTGTTTTAGGTATTGAAAAATTATTTTAGAGAAATATAATATTATTTTAATATATAAATAATTTTATTATTATAAAAAATATTTTGTGAAAAAATATATATTTTTTATTAAAAATACAGATAAAATTATTTGAAATTATGGGTAATATAAATAAACCAAACTAGAATTTGCAATGCACGTGACTTTTAAAAACCAACAAATGCATTTTGTATTGCTTCCATACAGTGTACAATGTGATTATTTTGTTTTAGTAGTGTTGAAAAATAATTTTTTTTTTTTTTATGTGAGGCATAAAAAATTGCGTAAAAGATATAAAAATAGTAATGTGTATAACATATTAATTATTGTGAAAAACAGCGTATGCAAAAAAAATTAAAAAGAACAAAGTTTATTTATTTATTTATTTATTATAGACCAACAACATTATATATAATTTTTATTCAATTTTCACTATTTACAAAGCACTCCAAAAATACATTTAAACATGTCCTAATAATTTTATCACTTCAACATAAATAAAAATGAGCATTTTCTAGATTGGGCTGTCTGATTCGAATAGGTCCAACATAATAATAATAATAATAATAATAATAATAATAATAATAATATATTATTATTATTATTATTATTTAAAAGAAACTAATTCAAATTGTATGAAGATATTTCTCTATCAGTGTTTAGTTTTTGTTAAATAAATAATGGAGAGTAAAATTTAAATTTGACTTGTCAATACCTAAGAAAAAAAATATCTCAAAATACTTCTTCAGCTCGCGCTACAGTTTTACTGTAAATACGAAAATTTAGGTGGAATATCATTAGTAAATAATTAAAAATATACTAGTAAAATTAATTATTCTATTTAAAAATAATTTTATATGAAAATTAAAAGAACTAATTAGTTTAATTAAAATAAAAAAAATTATAAATTTAAAAAATTAAAATGTATAACTTGTTTCAAAAAAATAAAAATTATCGAATAAGTGAAACATATAAAAATAGAAAGGAGAATACAGTGGGAGCGTTCGAGTATCATTTTACTGGGGATTCTGCAATAAGATATTTGATTTGACCTCTCACACTTAAGTCAAATAAACATAAGTCAAATACTGTATTTTGGATTTTTCTTTTTGCAATATTTTTTAAAATTAAAATTTGTTAATATTTATTTTCTCAATTTTTTTAAAACAGGCATGATAATTGGATATATATATATATATATATATTAAGTGAGCGTATAAGTGTAACGTGTGTGTTTTTATTTTGAATTTTGATATCTTTATAATAAAAATAATTATTAAATTTACTATTTTATATAGAAAATAAGTATTGAAGACGACATACTATATTATCATTCATGTCAATTAAATCAATATATATATATTGAAGACTTTATTGAATTTTAATTTAATTATTATAATTATAGAGTGTGACTACAATATAATTGCAAGTATATCGCACTATAAAAAACCATATTATATTTGTAACGGAATTATATTCCTAAAATTTACGTAACTAACGTAATTCTATCTTTAATTCCGTCTCTAATTTTATTAGTAACAGAAAAAATAAATTTAGGAACGAAAAAACTTCGTTACAAAAATGATATTTTCTTATAGTATATATAAACATGAAAAGCACACCAAATAGAAGTATCATTTTGCAATAAATATGAGGCACAAAACAATTGTGTTTGGTCGTGTGAATGTAAAATTATGTCAAGATTGAAATCGACACTCCAACTACAATTGACTATTTTGTTATTATTTTCTTTAAGTTCGATTTCAACTTATTTAGTATATAACCATTGCAATTCTCTATAACATAGTTACATTATCATTTAAATAAATTTACATTATAATTTAACAATCCGCAACAAGTTTATTTCATACTACTAGGCCATCTAAAAAATTAAATTGATATTTCATGCTCTCTCTGTTCACAAATTAACGTTCTATTTTTCTATTTGGAATGTCTAATAATTATTGTCCTCTTTTTATTTTTATACACAAAATTTACTCTTTTACCATTATTTACTCTTTCATTTTCTATACACAAGATTAAGGACAAATTTGTTATTTTATAACAAAAATCCTAATTGCCTAAAAATACGTGTAAATGTAAAATAGGACATTAGAAAATGAACGGATGAAGTATTATACTATAATTTATTTTATGTGATTCAATATATTTTCTTGATATAATTTGTATATAATCAAACAAATTTGTCACATCACTTAATATATATTATATATATTATTCAACTTCAATAAACCCTTTAATACTAACTAATCATTGTGTACAAGTTTTACTTCAATCTATATTTTGTTTGCCCAAGTTGAATACACTATACACCAATCACATCAAAGTATAAAACTAAATAAATACTCCCTCTACGTTGTAGGCACGATATTTTAGAAGGAGTATAATTAGTAGATAATTAAGAATGTATTAATGAAAATAATTATCTTATAATATAATATAATTATAAATTAAGGTTAAGATAACTAATTAATTTAATTAAAATTTAAAAAAAAAATTTAAAAATTTAAAATGAGATTAAAATGTGTAAAGAAAAATAACATGAAATGTGGGACGGACAGAAACGACAACGTGAATATGATATGTGGGACGGAATGAGTAATAAGTTTGGCCATTTTTTGATATTATGAATTTAAAATATTTTAAATAAAAAAAAATACATAAAAATTCTGTGTTTAACATATATATTACGATAAAAATAAATAAATGATATAAAAATATATTTAAAACCCAATCAAAAATACTACAAAGTTCATTCCCAACTTTAGCAATTACAAGCCAAAAAATTCACAATGGTAATACTAGATTAATACAATAGTCCAACGAATAATAATAATAATAAAACAAAAAATTCGCAACAAAAGATAATCCCACCAAAATTTAACACGGCGCAATGCACTCCCCAAAATGGTCTCAAATACGATCATACTCGCACCCATCACCATTTCCTAGTTAAACTTGTTCCTTATCTATCGAACACGGACTAAACGCACATCGATCGACGCGCTCGGCGCCAGCCCATAATTCTTGTTGTATTTTTAGAAAAATAATAATAATTATAATAATTTCAAGAAAAACCAAAAAAATGTAGTCATAGATGAATGATAAGTTGTTCAAAGATTTTGTGCTAAAAAAATTTGTCCTCAAGTGCAAGTTGTATCCATATATAATTGTGGCCCTATTTTTACACCAACACTGTTGGCAATATGTCATTTCAATCACTTATAAAGAATCCCCAAATTATAGAACACTTAGAAATTGACTCACACACGTATTCACACACCCACATGTATGTGTGTGGGTATGTGTGTATATATATATATAGATATAGATATAGATGTTGAGACCATAGAGGATCTTGCACTAGACATGGACAAGAATTACGAGGTTTCGAATTCTTGCAAAAAGCAAGAACCCAATTACAAAGGGATTAGAGCCATGCCTTTTGTGATAGGTAATACTTTGGATTTAATTTATTTTAATTTTTTCGGGTTCTTACGATGTCGGGGTGTTCTGTACGGAATTATAACGAAAGACGGATTTGTGAACAGGGAACGAGACGTTTGAGAAATTGGGAACGATCGGGACATCGGCTAATCTTTTGGTGTACCTCACCTCCGTGTTCAATATGAAGAATATCACGGCTACTAACATCGTTAACATCTTCAATGGGACGTGTAATTTGGGAACTTTGCTCGGCGCCTTCCTCTCCGATACTTATGTTGGCCGCTACACAACACTCGGCATCGCCTCTATTTCTTCCTTTATGGTACTATTTCAACCCGGTGCCTTGCTTCTCGACAAATTTGCTTTGCTAGAATTCGAAATTTTTTATTTCAATTAAAGATTTTACACCAATATTTTTAAATTACATTAACTCTCATAATTTATTTAAAAATATACATATTGCTAACTCCGTCCGGCTCTAAGGGTTTCATTTATTTTTTGCGTATTGATCTTTGAATATCAATTATTATATCAAAACATAGTACAAATTATGAAAAATTTACTTCAATTAGTGTCTTATAATGCTAATAGAATGATATTTATAAAAAAATATATACAAATATAATAATATTTTTAATGTTAAGTACAATGAAGTAAAAAATAAATAAGTATTTTGTTTACCAAAATTCAAAACAAAATCACAAGCCTAATAAAATCCATGGATTTGTTCCTTTGGAATTTCTACATAATTTATTCTATATTTTTGTATATTTTTTTTATAAAATATCAAATCAAATATTCTCTCTGTCCTTAATTATTTACCTATTTTTTTATTTTAGTAACTGTATTATATTTTTAATAATACAAATACTCTTTCAATTTACTATTGTTACACAAATGTCGTTACCTTTATATTATACAATACTAACAAGAATAATTTAGTTTTTTTACCTTTATTTTTACTATATCTCCATATAATATTAATATTTTTAAAATTCTTAAAAAAAAATAAATGAATAGATAGATATGAATGGAGAGAGAACTATTTAATTCAAATTTAATACATACTGTACTCATGCTTAATATATACGGTCGTATCTTATTGCAGGGCATGCTGGTGCTAACGCTAACCGCAGCCTTTCCAAGCCTACATCCGTCCAAATGCGGACCGGAAGACGGCGATACATGCGCCGGCGCGTCGGCCGGTCAATTATTTTTTCTATACACGGGATTTGCCTTTCTGGTTGTCGGCGCGAGCGGGATTCGACCGTGCAATTTGGCCTTCGGCGCCGATCAATTCAACCCGAACACCGAGTCGGGGAAGCGCGGCATCAACAGCTTCTTCAACTGGTACTACTTCACCTTCACCTTCGCGATGATGGTGTCGCTTACCGTCATCGTCTACGTTCAGTCGAGCATCAGTTGGGCCGTCGGGCTCGCCATCCCAGCGTTCCTCATGTTCTTATCGTGCACGTTCTTTTTCGTTGGTTCGAGAATTTATGTCCGGGTCCGGCCTCAGGGCAGCCCGCTCACCGCCGTCATGCAAACGCTCGTCGTCGCGTTTAAAAAACGGAACTTGGAGTTGCCGGATCAGCCGCGGGAAGTTCTGTTTAACCACATCCCGGAGGATTCGATCAATTCGAAGCTACCATATACCGACGATTTCAGGTGTCTGAACAAGGCGGCGATTGCGACGGCGGAGGATGGAGGAGTTGCCGCCGACGGGTCGGCGGCGGAGCCGTGGCGGCGGCGCAGCCTGCAGCAGGTGGAGGAGATCAAATGTGTCGTTCGAGTAATACCGATTTGGTTGTCGGGAATCGTCTACTTCCTCGTGCTAACTCAAATGCAGACATACTTGGTCTTCCAGGCCGGCCAGGCCGACCGGCGGATCGCCGGCGGCGGCGGGTTCAAGATCCCGGCGGCGTCGTACTCCGTGTTCTCGATGATAAGCCTGACGCTGTGGATTCCGATTTACGATCGGCTTCTCGTCCCGATCCTCCGGCGGATCACTGGGAAGGACGAGGGGATCACGCTGCTGCAGAGGATCGGGATTGGGCTGGTCCTTGGGGTCGCGACGATGGCGGTTTCCGGCGCCGTGGAGACGCACCGGCGGCGCGTGGCGCACACGCGCCCCACGATTGGCGTGGTTCCGCACAAGGGGGCGATCTCCGCCATGTCCGGTGGGTGGTTCGTCCCGCCTCTGGCGCTGGCGGGGCTGTCGGAGGCGTTTGCGGTTATCGGGCAGGTGGAGTTTTATTACAAGCAGTTCCCGGAGAACATGAGGAGCTTCGGCGGGTCGTTTCTTTTCTGCGGGTTGGCGGCGGCGAGTTACCTCCACAGTTTGCTGATCACGGTGGTGCACAAGACGACGGCGGCGGCGGCCGGAGATGGCGGGAACTGGGTGGCGGAGGATCTGAACGAGGGGAGATTGGATTATTTGTATTATCTGATTGCGGGAATTCAGGTTTTGAATTTGTGGTACTTCGTGGTCTGCGCGAGATGGTACAAGTACAAGAACGCAGACGACGACGCCATGGAAGTCGCCATGGATGAAAAGCTTGGTGGTGATCGGAAACCGGCGGCGCTGCAGGCCTGATTGAATTATTGACTTGTGATTCGATTCTTACAATGCGGATTCGGATTCGGACACAGAAATTGGATGATCTGTATGTAATAATTAAATGAGGTTTTTGGTGCAGTGGCTTGGTTAAGGAACCCACCGGAGCCGTAGCGAAAGCGAGTCTTCATAGGGCAATTGTCACTGCTTATGTAATTGTGTGACTGATTATTGAACCAAGAATTGATCTCTAAAGTCGTCTAATGATCGTTGGGGAGATGATTCTATGGTTTAGCTTTAAGTCATCCGTACAATTATTCAAAGATATACATATTGATAGAGATTATGAGTTCAAACTCAGACACTCCGTCATGAACTGTCACACATGATTCATTTAATTATATCGAGTTTAATTTACAAGATATTCAATTTAGTTTCAAATAGCATTATAGAAGGTTGGTTATAAAAAATATATATATAGAAGATTGGGCGATTCGTTATGAATTATGGTAGGGGATATATATATATATATATTATGAGATTAATTATGTGTTCAAAACCTACTTAGATGGCCAAACAATACTTTTCCAGTGCTTGAGTCAGTGGTTTAGCCTGTGTATATTAATAGCAGTTATGGATTCTTATGTAATAAATAAATAAGTAATAAATTAATAACATCAATAAATAATAAGTAAGTCGAGTAATTTTTAACATACTCCCGTTATGGCTTGTCCTATACAGATCTACCGAACAGTCATGCATTATTTAAAATGTAATATATAATTTTTTTTAAAAAATAAAAAATCTAAAACATCAAAAAATATGATCTTATGTATCCGTTTGAGTTTTGACATATTTTTTGAGGTATTTGGAGTTTTGAAATTTTATAAAAAGTAAAAATTTAGTATTTATTTTTTAATATTTTGTGATATAAATTTCTAAAACTAATGTGTAAAACAAATTCAGTCTATATTTTTTCTTGTTTTACTAGGCCAAAAAAAAAATTGTTTGTTAAGAAGAATCATGGTTTTAAAACTCGTTTTTATCTGCTTGTTGTTCAAATAATGTTGTAAAAAATACCTTATTCATTAGCACTTAACAAACATTGTAGCAAATTTATAGATAATATGGGATGAAGAAAACTAGTTTTAATAATACACATAAGAGTATTTTTGTAACATCATTTCATACTCCCTCCGTTCCATAACAAAGTATTCATTTTTTCATTTTAGTCCGTCTCATAATAAAGTATCAATTTTCTTTCGTAGTAACTGTAATATCTACCTAACATTACAAATACCCTTACAACTTACAATATATTACACAAATGTCGTTACCTTTATATCACATATACTGATAAGGTTATTTTAGTTATTTTTACTTTATTCATATTATATCCCAATATAATATTAATATTTCTAAAACTACGTGCAAAAAGCAAATGGATATTTAGTTCCGGGACGGATGGAGTATTATTTATAAACTTGTAATAATAGTCACATTTTAAGAATAAATGTTACAATTTTCGTTAAGTACTAATGAATAAAGTATTTTTTATAATATTATATAAACCACAAGTAGATAAACGCATGTTTTAAAACTAAAAAATCTTTTCAGCAAATTTCGCAAACAATATAAGAAATTTTTGCTATTTTGTCATTGTATTATTACACAATCTCTCCGCACTTCAAAATATGTTCACAAAATATTAAGTAAAACTATTTTAGAGACTTAAAACATGTACAAATGCAAACACAAGCCAAACAAAATTAATTAACCAAGAAGTTAGTAATTATTTAAATCACGGTCAATTCCAATGGTGATCTGATCGATTTGTAATGTATTGTAGACCACCATCCTATATCCCTCACATGTCGTCACTTTAACTTAGTAGTCGATCTTGGTCACGATCACATACATATGATAAGATAATTACAGGCTTGTCGGTATTTGAACTCATAATGTTGTAATAACGAGTCTGCCTTCCACGCCAACTCAATCTCGACTCTTTCTCTCTAAATCTTATCTGAGAAGACCTTTAAATACCAACTTGTACATTTTGTAAGATTTCTAATTCATCGATCCAAAATTTCCAATAAAATCTCAGTTTATCCTTACTGAATATTTATTTTGCTTTACGTTACGTTACAAAAAACTATTTTTGTAATTCTTTTTAATTCTTCAAATCGACACTAAAGTACCAGTGTTGCTCTTTTCCAATCGAAATTATTTTTTTTTATTATTTTTATTCGTTTCACTTATTAAAAATATTAATTTTTTATTGTAATAAAAGTAATTAGACATTAATATTAAAATACTCTTTAAATTTTACATAAATTACAAATATACTATTATCCATACAATTAATTTATTCATAAAAGACATAAGTATCAAAACTATCTTACATAATTCACTAATAAAATATTTATTATTTATTAATTTATTAGAGGATCTCAAAATGATTCATTTGAATTGGAACGAAAATAATACTCCCTTCGTCTCAAACACCGTGCAACATTTGTGTTTGGCACGGAAATTTAGGTGGGGAGTATTAAGTATGGTAATTTGAAATAATTTGGATATTAAGTGATATGATTGGAGAGAGAAATGATTATTTATTTTTTTATTTGAGCGATGTGATGAGATAAATTGAAGTATATATTAATATACGTATATAAATATTATTAATTATTTCTAAATTTAAAAATGCTGCAGTGATTTTGGGACAAACAAAAACGAAAATATTGCATGGTGTTTGAAACGAATGGGAGAGAGTATTGTTTTTCAATAGTAACAGTGTATACCCTAATTTAATTTGTTTTTTGTGATTATTTTTCAAGTATCTACTATTCAATTTTTATGATTTCTTGTAAATATACAATATCCTCTTTCATCAAATATTATATTCAAATTACAATTGTTAAAAGAAAATCAAAATTAAAATCCAAAAAACCAACTACTTTAAACGATTGATTTTATATTTTGGCAATAAGAAAGTGCAATTGATACTTGCCCGTGTTAACATAAACACACATGTTACCCTTTGTCATCGATGATATATAAAATTATCGATGTCTTTATCCATAATTTCTGTAATTTTTTTCTATGGCATGGAAATTCGCAATTACTATTTTTCGGATGCACTCTAAGTAAATTTTCGGCTGAATTTAATAGCCTGCGAAGTAGGCTGACAAAACAAATCATACTAGGCGAACTATTGAAAATGTGTAGTTAATAATTCTTTTTTATATAGTGATTTAAATATAATATTTTACCAAAAAAAAAATGTTATATTTTTATATAGAAGAACAGGAGTATTAAATAGTAAAAAAAATTAATATTGTTAAGTGAACACTTCTGAAATTGCCATGAAATCGATGGTAGTTCAAATCTGGAGGATCATAACCATGTTCGTTCATGTGATTTCCTGGATCATATTGATATACATATCTGTTCTTGATTTTATATGCTGCCTAAATTTGCAATTTTAGGCAATAATTGCAAGTATTTTGGTAAAATTTTAATCTAAACAAGGATTGCACTCCCGGTATAATACTTACTCATTATTTATTAACTGTGTTAACAAATAATACTTCCTCTGTCGTCCAATTGTATATTCATTTGATCGGGCACGAATTAAAAAAAAAAAAAAAGTCGATGGGGGCAAATTAAATACTCCCTCCGTCCCAGATACCATGTCCACGTTGCCGTTCTGTCCGTCCCACGTACCATGTCACTTTCTTTTTTGGAAAATAATTACACTTTAATCTCATTTTAAATTTTTTAATTTTATTTTTTTAAATTTTAATTAAACTAATTAGTTATCTTAATCTTAATTTATAATTATTTATATTATAGAATAATTATTTTCACTAATACATTCTTAATTATTTACTAATTACCCCCTCTTAAAATACCTTATCTACAGTGTAGCAGACACGGTATTTAGGACGAAAGGGAGTAATAATGTAAGACACACAACGTGTGATATTTAAATACAATATCGAATTAGGGCACCATTCATGAATATAAATTAGGTTTTAGTGCTTTTAATTATTAATGGCTGCCATTTTCACGACACTAATTTGACGTAACCAAATTGTAGATACTTTAATATTTTGGGTATATAAATAGATAGTTCATGGAGTAGTATATATTTTAATTCGAAAATAAACTTTAAATTTCATATTTTAAATAAAAAAAAAAAAATCTTAGTTTTTTTTTTTTTTGGCAGAACAGTTTAAGTACAGCCTTAAAACAGTACACTAGGAGATGTTTGCGTCCTTAACTATATATTTTTGGTAAGGTTTTTTGGCTTTTTTTATTATTATTATTATTTATTGTTTTATATTTGGTAAATTAGTTATTGGGTAAAAAAAAAAAAAAATTATTAAAATTGATATATTTTTCACAAAAAAACACAAAAACGGAACCGCAATATTTCATGATAAAAAAAAAAAAAAAAAAAAAAAAAAAAAAGCAAATAAAATAGTTTTGTGTAATATTTTATGAAAATAAATTGTATAATTTTCTTGGAGATTGTAGAACAACAATGTAGAAAGAAAAAAAAAATGTTACAAAAATATAGTAGTGTTTCAAAAAATATATTTGTAAGATTTAAATTGAAAATTTTTTAAAATATCAAATCAAATACTATAATTATATTTTTATTGTTTGTATTATACTTTTTTCCGTTCCGGTCCAAATGGGTCATCTTGAGTTATAGTAAATTAAAAAAAAAATAACAATAGTAATATTTTACTAATCAGCAGAAGTATATAAAAAATTTTGATATTTTTATCATTTTATTTTATGTAAAAAATAATTGTATTTGTAATAACATATTTGTAATTTTGATAAAAATTATGAGTATTTTGATATTAGTGTACATAATGTTTACTAAATAGAAAAGAAGTACTTTTGATAAAAATTATGGGTATTTTGATATCAGTGTACGATAATGTTTACTAAATAGAAAAGAAATACTTTGGATTAAGACAGACGACAGTAGTAAAAATAATACTTTAAGTTAGGACGAAAGAAGTACTAAATATTTATTTTATGATCAGAACATCACATCAATATATATTTATACCATATCGAGAAATTACACGAATTCAACAAAAAGACAATGTTATGTAAGATCGAAAACCTGCCGGAAATGACAAGGGACAGCAGGAGAAGAAGATCGACAAATACATGGACTCAACCCATCAGTAAGAACCAAACATCAAACATCGAAGTTGTTTCGAAACTTTTGAGGAAGAACTAACTGTGCAATGCCTAGAGACAAACTCGAGATTTAACTATCCTTAAAGGGGCATGGATAAGCCGCTAATTCGGTCAAGTCAGCACATGGCTTATTTGACCAGATGACCGGTATATATTTATACATCATATATTATATTATAACTCAGCATATATTATCTTATAACAGAGCATATACATAAACATATACATGTTACTCATATGGATACATGTTACTCGTATGGCATATGTTGACCCGGTCAAATAGTACCATGTTATTTGGCAAGATCAGCATAGAATCTGCAACCATCCTAGAGCATAGTAAATCTATCGATAATACGAAAGCTTCTGTCGCGCAAAATTAAGATAATAAAGACATCGACAGCATCAATTACGGCAAGATAAATAGAAGAGAGCGCTCGACGCTAAAGGCTCTAAGCATATGTATATATATATATATATATGTATATAAACATCGACGTCTAGCACAACAAAAACAGAAGTTTTGAGGCGAAAACTTGAAAGGTAAACTGTCACATTTGAACATTTCTAAAGTACACTTTGCTCGGATACAACGAGCACAACCTAGCAGCCTCTCTAATCTAATAGCTTGTAATTTAAAGTTGATTTTTAATGCCGCACTAGTTTAAGAAACGGAAGAACGGTTACCTCGTTCATACGGTATAAGCTTGCTGAATTGTATCGATGTCGAGACCCTTGAGCCTCACCACAGATTCGACGTGACCTTTCAGTGTGTGCAGCTCGCGCAACCTGCTCGAACATCGATTTTTCGAAAAACCAGATTAAAAAATCGAAACTTTGACAAGGGACAATGCGAGAATAATACTAATAATAGCACGAATATGTTTCGGACCTTGCAATCTCGGCTCGTCTCTTTGCTTCCTCTGCCAATTGATTGAGTTCGGAAAAGTTGTTGGTTTCGTTAAATAATTTTGTATCGGGTACTTGTAAGCCATGAAGGGTCCTTTGAGCGTGCGCCCATTTCAGCTCGCGTTGCTCTTTTCCGAAATCCTTTTTCCTTGTGAAAGCAATCTGCGATTGAAACGAGATAAGTAAAATTAGAATTTAGAACCCATACGGGTAAACCGTAAATACGTATCTTACTCTTTGCTCGAGAACGAGATCCCATGCTCGACCACTCAGCGCGTATCGGATGAGGAACTTGATAATGTCGAGCGGGATATAGAAGATGATATTGTAAAGCCATATCACCCCTGCCCACCCCCACCCGATTCCTTCAATCGCTGCGAAGCTCCAATTTGCGTATACAGCGATCAAAGTAGCAACCTGAATCCATTTTTATGCAGCAAAGATCCAATTTTTTTTATCGAAAATAGAAACGAACGTATTCAAATGACACAACTCGGGCCTGAATTGCTAACCAGTTGGGCAATCACGAATGCTGCGACGAGCAACAAACCAGGACGCTCGATATACGACCAGTTTCGGGATCTCGTAACGAATATTAGAGCCTGACTTATAGTGCTCACTTGAAGATATATCGCCGAAGCAAGCTTTCTGAAGTCGTCGTGAGCAGTCTTCTCAAGAGTCGCCACTCCGAATACGCGCTGAAAAATTAGTAGCAAACAAATGAAATATTCCGAGCTAATCGACTGAGAGAAATAATTACGAAAAACAGCGGCTTACCGGAAAGAAATCTGTTTTGTACGCCGCCCAAAAGAATATGACGGTCATCATTGCCAAGTAACCGCCGAGGATAATTCCGGTGGCGAAAATCTCGGCGAGCTTCCAGCTGTCAGGGAGTGGCGACGGTTTTACTCGATCTTTCGATATGGTCATGATGGTACCTAATCATACAAAACGTAAGACAAATTCAAGAACGATCGAAACGGATAACCAAGAACGAGTCCGAGAGCCAACCATCGTTCAATATTGCGATGATAAGAACCATAAACGGCGGAAAGTCGAACTCCCATATCAAAGCCAAGAGCATAAAACCGAGCTGGCATCGGAAAATCAGTGCAAAGACATCAAACTATTGCATTTAGCGACAATAACGACAAAACTTAATTCGTAGAAAACTTACCACAATACGGATTGTGATCGAAACGGCGTAAATCTGAAACAATAAGCAATTAGCAAAATGTTCGAACTATGATGCAATAAGTAGAACAAAGTAAATAAAACTATACTGTGTAATTTTTCATTCTTTGGAAGATCGCTCGACTGGTTAAAACAGCGCTGATTATAACGCTGAGGCCCGGTTCCGTTAGGACAATGTCCGAAGCACTACGAGCTGCATCAGTTGCATCGGCAACGGCAATGCCAATGTCAGCCTTCTTCAAAGCAGGGGCATCGTTCACTCCATCACCGGTCATTCCACAAATGTGTTTTCTAGCTTGCAGTCGCTTTACTATTTCGTATTTATGCTCTAACCAAGAACGACGGGAATTTATAATTTTAGACAAAAATACTTTAGACGTAATCGAATCACCTACAAACGATAACATTATAAGTTCAAACGAGGAAATGCCAAAATGGATATGTACCCGGGAAAACGCCCGCAAAACCATCAGCTTTCTCGATAAGTTCGTCGATCGGAAGAGCGGCAATCGACTCATCCTTATTTTGTCCCAGCAAAGCCGACGAAGGATACATGTTAGTTCCCATTCCCAATCTCCGCCCCGTTTCTTTTCCTATTGCAAGCTGATCGCCTGTTCAAACCAACGGATTCAGCCTCTAAAGCTCGACAAAATATTCATTGAAAAATGACAGATTTTTTTGCAGGGTGGTACCCGTTATCATTTTCACATTTACTCCAAGATTCAACGCCCTTCGAATAGTTTCCGCGCTGTCATGTCGAGGCGGATCAAACAGAGGCATGAGACCAACGAACTGCCACGGCCCTCCCGGGCTCTCTTTAGTTCTTTCCGGAACTTCCTGCAAAGTTCACTCAATCTCTCAAAACTACAGTAATTTAATCGTACGATAAACTGACTTGTAAAAAAGAGATCGATACCTGATAGGCAACAGCGAGAGATCTCAAACCTCGCTCGGCAAACTTATCAATCACCGCATGAACCCTTCGCTCAATCTCCGACTTGTTATGCGAAAGGTTTAGAATCTGAAAAACGGTAGACGATGTTTTTAGTATTTCATTTCAAGAACTACAAAAAGAGCACAAAAATAAGAATACGATCGACCGTACCTGTTCGGGCGCGCCTTTACTGACCCTGTGCATCTTTCCTTCGCCGTCGAAGTAAGTCAACGCTGTTCGTTTATCCGTAGGGTTAAACGGGAGGAAATGCACCTCTCTAATTCCAGCCCGTGCCTAGTTGCATTACTATCGACGTCAAAACAACACTTCCTAGTTTCATCCACATATATATATATAATGTCGACGATTACCTCTTTTGGGTCAGCCAGCATTCCAACTATCGCAGCGTCAATGGCATCCTGGTTTTCCATTCGAGAGGCTCGAGCAGCCATCAGAACGACGGTATCCGCATCGACGCCTTTAGCGAAAACCTGCAACGGAAAAAATCAATTAAATTCGAGCATCAATGATCGATAAATTAACAGACACCGGCGCCAGACTCGGACCTCGATGAGATTCTTATCGACGGTGAGCTTGTTCAGCGTCAAAGTCCCCGTCTTGTCGCTGCAAAGCACATCCATGCCAGCCATTTCTTCGATTGCCGTCATTCTCTTCGTAATAGCTCCCTAATCGTACACGAATATTTCATTACACACCGGAAGCGCCGAGGTTCCTCGAAATCAACATACATTGTAAGAACCGACGTAACCTGTTGAGCCAAACGATGAGAGCCGATGGCCATCGTAACCGAAAGGACCGTCGGCATGGCGATCGGAATTCCTCCGATGAGAAGAACGAGAAGATTGTCGATCCCGGGGCGATACTTGCGGTGTTGAATAGGGTACATCACAATTATCTCTATAACCATCCCCACCACAATCGAGCAAATGCAGAAGTTCCCGATCGCAGTCAAAACCTAATTAACGCAACATCGAAACGAAATTAACAAATCGCAGCCAAAATCCGAAACATAAATAACTAACATTAATAAAAATTCGACCTTCTGAAAGTGTCCGACTTGATTAGTCGAATCGACGAGGTGCGCAGCTTTCCCGAAGAATGTATGAACACCCGTAGCGATAACGACAGCCTCGATTTCTCCCTGTTTACACGTCGAACCCGAGTAGACGCCGTCGCCCGGCCCCTTCGTCACCGGGAGCGACTCGCCGGTCAATGCAGACTACATACAAACAATCAAATAGCCAATCAACAACCAAAATTCGATCACGGAAACATAAAACAGCGACGAACGGACTAAAACCTGATCAATTTTCAGCGGATCGCCATCGAGCAAACGAGCATCGGCCGGAATTATATCTCCAAGCTTGATGCTAACTATATCTCCGGGCACCAAAATGGAAGCTTCTTCCTCATTCCACCTCCCGTCGCGAAGAACCTTAACAAACAAACAACATTCGTCAATCAAACAAGCACGATTACATCATAATCGATTTAATAACGTAATGTAATATCGAACTTTCGCTTTCGGCGCAAGCCGGGCCATTAGGGCAGCTGCAGCGTTGCCAGCATTGTTCTCCTCGATGAAACTAATCGTCGAATTGATTATAAGCAATGTGATGATACCAACAAAGTCCTGCCAATCAGGAGGCTTTCCCTGCCAAAATTCACAATCAGGAATCGATTTTTTTGGATCAATTTCCACAATTAGACAACAAGAATTCCTCAAACTAAACTAATTAATGTTGTTCTTACTCCTCCATTAGCAAGAGCAATAGCCATTATAGCTGCAGCTTCCATAACCCATGAAAGAGGGTTCCACATAAACCCTAGAAACTTCAAGAACTTGCTCTCCTAAACAATCCCAACAAACAATTTACCAAAAAGTTACACTTTAAACCACAATTTCTTGAGCCAAAAAAGGATGTTGTGATAAAAAAATTTAAAAAAAAAAAAACCCTAAAAGGTAATTAAAAAAAAAAAAAAAAAAGAAGAAAACTTTACCTTCTTTTCTTCAAGCTTGTTGTGACCAAAAATGGCTAACCTCTCTGTAGCAGCCTGGGAAGTAAGGCCCTCTCTGGTGCATCTGAGATTCTCAAACACTTCTTCAATTGGGATATTCTCCTACAAAATCAAAAAGAAGAATTAAAAATGAAATCACCAAACAAACCCCAGAAACAAAGAAACAATACAATCCCAAATGGGGCATCAGATCCATTACCAAATCCACAGTTTCCTTCAGCACAGCATCAAGAACTTCAGGCTTCTCCCCCATCTTCAAAACCCTCAAGCTTTTCTCCCCCAAACACAGATTTCAATTTCAGTTTCAATTAAACCTCACTGCAGAAACCACCATGGGCAAAATTCAAAAAAAAAAAAAAAAAAAAAGAGTTGCAGAACAGAGCAGCACAAAGAAATCAGTGAATTTTTCTGCAGAAGTTTGTAGAAGAAATTAAAATGGAGTTGAGGACAAAAATGGGGGCTACCCACCAACACTAAATCTACCAAAGAGCAGAGAAGAGCAGAGGGTAAGTAACAGCCGCAGCAGCACTGCAGTAGCTTTTGAAATTTCCCATTAAAAAAATATAAAAAGGTTTTCAAGATTATTTTTTTTATTTATTTATTTTTAACAAAAATTCAAAATCTAAAAGAAATTAAAAATAGTAGTAATAATAAAACATGAAAAAGATTCTTCCTTTTTTTGTTTGTTTCTGGGTTAGGACGGAAAAGGGTGTCATAAAAGAGGCTCCATTTTGCAAAAGCTGCCTGTTGTTGCAATCACCAGAGTTAAACTGATGTTTTTGTTTCATCCATTTTTTCCAATCCTCCGAAGAAATCATCGACAGGTTTCAGGTAAGAATTCCTGTTTTTTATGATTATTATTATTATTATTGCTGTTGTTATTTGGTGGGTATAATTATAAAGAAAGATAATTCGCACCTGCCATTATCGTTTCTGTTCTTTAAGTTTAGAAGATTTATGTTTTTTTTTTTTTTTTTTTTTTTTTTTTGGATCGGATTAGAAGATTAATGTTTCGCAGAAAGGGGATTGAGAGAGAGAAAGATAGAAACAGAGAGCCATAAAACTGCACATGGGAGCTCTTCAATTTGCTTTACCAGATCCACGTGCTACCCATTTTCTTCTTCTTCTTTTTTTTTTTCTCTATATTTTTTATATTATAATTTATATCTCTAAAGTAACAACTTATAAAATTTCATCATCAAATTTAAAATAATAATCATATTTATTATTATTTGTTATAAAATATATCAAATATAACTATAGTTATAAGATATAATATATATTTATAACTTAGATATATATATATATATGTATAAGTGTGTATATAATATAGAGAGAGAGATAGAGATTGAGAGAGAGAGTTGAGAGCCGAGAGATAGGGTGAAAAATGAAACAAAAATCAATCCCCTCATTTTATTAAATACATAGCCCTTTATATAGGCAATTAAGAAGAATGATTAATCATCCAATTTGCTACATGGCATTATTTTACAATGACACCTAGTTATGTAATCAAATGAGTCATAACACTCCCCCTTAGGTGTCATTTAACTACAATGAATACGCCTCGTTAAAACCTTACTAGGAAAAACCCAATGGGACAAAAATCCTACTTAAGGAAAAAGAGTACGTCATTCATGCATTAAGAATACTTCCCCTGATGTGGACATCACTTGAAATAACGCTCCCCCTGATGTGGACATCATTTGAAATCTTGCAACCGACGCATCCCAATGATCTTTACTAATTTCTCGAACGTTGCGGTCGGTAAAGCCTTGGTCAACAAGTCTGCTAAATTTTGGTCTGATCGAATCTGCTGTACATTTATTTCACCATTTTTCTGGAGATCATGAGTAAAGAAAAATTTTGGTGAAATATGTTTCGTTCTATCTCCTTTGATATATCCCTCTTTCAGTTGCGCTATACAAGCTGCATTATCTTCGTACAGAATAGTGGGAGGATTATCATTTTCAGATTTCAAACCACAATTCTGTAAAATGTGATGAATCATTGATCTTAGCCAAACACACTCTCTACTGGCTTCATGGATTGCTATTATTTCTGCATGATTTGAAGATGTGGCGGTTAATGTTTGTTTAGTGGATCTCCAAGATATCACTGTACCGCCACAAGTAAACATATGGCCAGTCTGAGATTTGGCTTTATGCGGATCAGAAAGATATCCAGCATCTGCATATCCAATCAATTCTTGTCGAGATCCTTTTGGATATAATAGACCAAGATCAATAGATCCTTGGAGATAACGAAAAATATGTTTGATTCCTTTCCAATGTCGTTGTGTTGGAATTGCACTAAATCTGGCTAATAAATTTACAGAAAATGCTATATCCGGTCTAGTACTGTTAGCCAGATACATTAGTGCACCAATAGCACTTAAATATGGTACTTCAGGACCAAGTGCTTCCTCATTCTCCTCTTTTGGTCTAAAAGGATCTTTAATAGGATCAAGAGTTCTAACGACCATTGGAGTACTTAATGAATGTGCTCTATCCATTGCAAATCGTTTCAATACCTTCTGGGTATATGCAGATTGATGTATCAAAATCCCATTTTCCAAATGTTCAATTTGTAGACCAAGACAAAATTTCGTTTTCCCGAAATCTTTAATTTCAAACTCCCTTTTCAAATATTCAATAGCTTCTTGGACCTCTTCAGGGGTTCCAATTAAATTCAAATCATCCACATAGACAGCTATTATTATAAAATTTCTCCCATATTTCTTTATAAAAATACACGGACAAATAGAATCATTGGCATATCCCTCTTTCAATAATGATTCACTGAGACGATTATACCACATGCGACCAGATTGTTTAAGCCCATACAAAGACTTTTGTAATTTAATAGAATAACATTCTTTTAGCTTTGATTTATATGCATCAGACATACTAAACCCTTCAGGGATTCTCATGTAAATATCACTATCTAACGAGCCATATAAATACGCAGTTACAACGTCCATCAGACGCATATCCAAATTTTCATGTACTGCCAAACTGACAAGATATCGAAATGTTATTCCATCCATTACTGGAGAATATGTTTCATTAAAATCAACTCCAGGTCTTTGTGAAAAACCTTGGGCAACAAGTCTTGCTTTATATCTGGCAATTTCATTATTCTCATTTCGCTTTCGAACAAATATCCATTTATAGCCAACAGGCTTAACACCTTCAGGTGTTTGAACAATTGGTCCAAAAACTTTTCGTTTTGCCAGTGAATTTAATTCAGACTGGATCGCATCTTTCCATTTTGGCCAATCTATTCTTTTCCGACATTCATCAACTGATCGAGGTTCTGGATCCTCCTCATTTTCCATTAGATCAAGTGCTACATTATATGCAAAAGCATTATCCATAATTGTATCACTTCGGTTCCAATGCTTTCCAGTAGTAACATAATTTATTGAATTTTCAATAATTTCATTCTCTTCAGAAGAAATTCTATTAGAATTAACATCATCATCAAGTTTATCAGGATCAATTTCTCTAGAAATCTGATCAATGTTACTATCTGTTTCTTGAGGGTTTTGATTAATATTCAAATCTTCAATCCTTTCATTTGTTCCTCTTTTCTTTCGAGGATTTTTATCTTTGGAACCTACAGGTCTGCCACGCTTTAAGCGTACATTTGATTCATTAGCACTTTGTATTTTGTCTCCAGGAATAACAATTTTAGCAGGTACATTTTCAGCAGCTATATAAGATCTAGTGACCCTGCTGGTGTCACAAAAAGCATCAGGCAACTGATTTGCTATTCGCTGCAAATGTAAAATTCTTTGTACCTCTAATTCACTTTGACTTGTACGAGGATCAAGAAAACTGAATGGTATTTTCCAAGTAATTTCCTTTTTCAGTTGATCAGTTTCTCCCCCTAATATCGGGAAATGTGACTCGTCAAAATGACAATCAGCAAAACGAGCCGTAAATGAATCACCAGTTAATGATTCAAGATATTTAATGATAGATGGTGATTCGTACCCGACATATATCCCCAATCTCCGTTGGGGGCCCATTTTTGTACGTTGGGGCGGTGTAATTGGCACATAAACCGCGCACCCAAAAGTTCTCAAATGTGAAATATTGGGCTTTTCTTTGTATACTAATTGTACTGGAGAGTAGCTATGATAGCTTGTCGGTCTTAATTTTATCAGTGTTGCTGCATGCATAATTGCATATCCCCAAGCAGAGACAGGAAGTTTGGATTTCATTAGCATAGGTCTTGCAATTAATTGCAACCTTTTTATAAGTGATTCAGCTAGACCATTTTGAGTATGTACATGAGGTACAGGATGTTCAATGTCAATTCCAATAGACATGCAATAATCATCAAAAGTCTTAGATGAAAATTCACCAGCATTATCAAGACGAATTTTCTTTATTTGGTGATCTGGAAACTGAGCTCGTAATCTAATTATTTGAGCAAGCAACCTCGCAAATGCCAAATTGCGGGTAGATAATAAACACACATGCGACCATCTAGTAGATGCATCGATAAGTACCATAAAATATCGAAATGGTCCGCATGGTGGATCTACAGGTCCACATATATCACCCTGAATTCGTTCTAAAAATGAAGGGGATTCAGTTCCCACTTTTGGCGGTGATGGTCTAGTTATTAACTTCCCTTTTGAACAAGCAACACATATAAACTCATTTGTATTTAATATCCTTTGATTTTTCAAGTTATGGCCATTGGTATTTTCAATAATTCGTCTCATCATAGTATTACCAGGATGCCCAAACCGGTCATGCCAAATCACAAAATCTGTAGACTTTTGGTCTACGAGATATGTTTCAACCACATTAATCTTTGTGCAATATAATCCGGAAGACAATGAAGGCAATTTTTCTAATATATATTTATGTCCATCAATGAATTTTGTAATTAACAAAAATTCATTATTTGTCATACTTGATGTCTCAATATGATATCCATTTCTGCGAATATCATTAAAACTCAACAAATTTCTTTGAGATTTACTAGAATATAGTGCATTTTGGATATCAAGTTTTACTCCTTCGGGGAGAAATATTATCGCTCTTCCAGAGCCCTCAATTAACTTCGCACAACCACTTATGGTATTCACCTCAATTTTTCCCAACTTCAGGTTGGTGAAATATTTCTTATATTTCAAAATGGTGTGCGTTGATGCACTATCAATGAGACATGAACTGTCTTCCATATTATTCATTATAACGTGCTCAGCATTCATATTTCTTCTTCTGGGAGAAATATAAGAATAAATATATCAAAATTTTGGAAAAAAAAAAATACATAGCTGTCATATCATTACAAAATGTCGGGAGCAAAAACTACATGTGTTACAAAAATATATATACACATATCTATATGCATTTATATCGCATCTCCGGGATTTTCATAGTACCCACCTTCAGGTTGTACTAGAAAATCAGATACATCTAATTGCGTATTATCAT